CGATCGTTCAGTTCACCTAACGACGCCTTACAAAAACAGCAGTCGTGCTCTTGCGACGAACTACAGATCCATCAGTCTGACATCAGTCTGTTGGAAAGCCAAGGGAAAATCTTCAGAGGGGAGTCGACGGCTTATTTGCAAACCCACAACATTTTTTCCAATGTACAATACGGCTTTCGTCTGGGAAGAGCGTTGTAACGAACTTGCCATATACAGTGTAAAGCTAGGCAAGAGCACTCGATGCAAAACACACTGTGCATGTAGCCTACATCGATTTCCAGAAGGTGTTCAACAGTGTTCCTCACCAGCATCTCCTTTACAAGTTGAGAGCGATGGGCAGCGGTGACAAACTTCTCAAATGGATCGAGAACTTCCTCGCCGGGCGTTCCCAAACTGTCTGCATAGAGCAACAGCAACCAAGGCGTACATTCTCAGAGAATGGAATTCCATAAGGCTTAGTGCTTGGACCGACCCTGTCTCCTGTTTATTAATGATTGTGTAGAGGAGTTAGACTGCGCTTGTGCCGTGTTTGTAGGTGATATTAAAATATGGAAAGTCATCCAGAATGCTGTCGACGAGAACGCCTTTCAAGAAAATCTTCTTCGACTGGACGAGTGGCTCTTGTCCTTCTGCTTAAATAAAAACACCATCCTGCGTCTCGGGAGTCGAAATCAGGTCAATAGTACGGGGCAATATTATCTACAAGGAAGGCCACTTCGCGATTGCAGACACTCTAAGGCCTTCTACGCAATGTCGTACGGCAGCTAAGGCCGCAAAATCGATGCTGTACGTCATCGGACGGGCATTTGCAGTCTCCAATGAAGAATGCTTCTCCGAAGTCTTTGGCAGGTTTCTAAGGCCGCAGCTTGAATATACAATCCACGCTTGGAAACCATGGACGCAGCAGGATAGCAATTTACTCGAAAGAGCGGAGAGACGAGCCACAAAATTAACATCTGAACATCGGTTTGATAGACATATGCTACACCAACAACCGGACTATACTACTTTGTGACCATAAAAAAATCAGTGCGCTATGCGGATCGATGTCTGCGTTCACGTAATTTTGTGATTTTTTCACATTTCTGCTTATTTTCTCGATTTTTAATGTACGAGTAGGAAGTTCAAAGGCGTAAAGCGAGGCGACGAATAATGCACATTTTTCCGGTATCATGTCCAGTCTGCTAGAAAGGTCACGTTTTGCGATGGTCGAATTCTCATGCTGGAGTGTCGTACACTTCTTTCTGTTTGCTGACACACCGTAAAGCATTCCCCTCTTTTAAACTTGCCAACGTCTCAGTTATTGGTTTTGGTTTACCCCCAGAACAGTTTCCTGCAGCTGGAACAATGTATCGTTTAGTAGTCAATGGTTTACCGTGTGGATTCGTTAATTTATAAAACGCCTTCACCTAAGTCGGATATTATATGACCTCTAACCTGCCGCTCAACTCGAAAAGTGGTGTCTATGGCGCTCAAAGTGTAAATTAGTGCTCCTGTTTAGCAAACATTAAGGCTAGTATCTGACAAAATGATACACATAAAGAATAGCGAGGTAGTTTGTGCCTTAATTTACTTACTTAACAGAAAAATGCAATATTCCTCTTCATTTGGCTCCATAGTAGGGTTGTACCTAATATTTCTGAGATGTTTATTGTCGAAGTGGAGTCTAGGGTAAATTAGCTTCCATTATAATTACTTCATACAGGATTACCTAAAAATTTCAGAAGAAAGCGCGAAAAGTTTATCCGATGGATGTGTCTACAGCACGCTGCTGGAGATACTGTCAAAAGGCCAGTGCTTGTGCCAAGGTCAGTGATAATGGGCATCCAGTTGGATCGCACTCGTGAATAAATGCTGAAAGTACCGCCTCGATTTTATCTTGCTCGCTCAGATATTTCTATATTCTTCATACTTAATAGTGCTAGTTGCTTTTGGGGCATCATCGTTTGTGTCCGCTGAAACGTGCCACTCTGCACTTTGCGATAGATTAACCGTGGTAAAAGGGCAATCGTACATGTCGCCTCCGTCCGCCGGTTGGATTCGTATAAACGCTGTTCATAAAAACTAAAATCGACCTGGTCTTTAGAGTACGGACGGTCTCTGCTATCATGTGGCCTTAGCCTTTAAGAGAGGGGCCACGGCCCAGTCCCAGGGGTAGTACGTCCCTTATTTATAATAGATTTAATTAACAGGGCTGCATGTTTTTGCAGTCAGTTTAGCATGGATTATTTCATCGCGTACGCCACGCTGTATAAACAATGATACAGATAAACTACTTCCCATTATTTGTGTTCGGGGAACGAAGCTGAAAGCGCAGCCGTTGACCCCGTCCACCCCACCCTCTGAATACAAACAACAGAAATTATTTTGCCTGTAAAATTGTTTCTAAAGGGCGCTTTGCATGGGGCGCATAGTCACGGTTTCTTTTCTGAAAAAAACTTGCAGTATCGTTAATATGTATGTTCGAAATAAAAGACAAACGATCCCTCCCGGCGGGGCCGCAGCCCTTCCAACCGTGTTTTGCCCTACAAGCAGGATACATGCCAGCACTTTTTTGCAATAAACAGGGGAAATGTTGATTTAAGTTTACCATACTAAAGTGCTGTACATAGCCTTTGTTGCGGCAGAGGACATTGGGTTTGAAATGCAATAATCTCCTTCTGCAATTTTTCTGAAATAAGTCTTGGAAGAAGTTATATGTGCAACGGTATCAATTTAAGTTCTTAAAAATAATACTTAAACTTCGGGTTGGCTAAACCAAATTAATAAAGTGCTAAATAGAAATACCAAACCCTTGCTGATTTTAGTAGATTAATTTCGTTCACTCCTTCATGGTTTTCAGGTCTAGAACAGGTGCTGCAGAAGTTGCGAACTCTCAGTGGTGCACCAATTTACACCGCGGAGTTCGCGTCGAGAAACGTGGGAAAGACAGATGGTTCACCTCACTATTACTCCTTGGAAAGAAAAAATGCGGAACGAGGACTTGACTGTTACCATTGTGTCACGTCCGAAGACCTGTCCTATCCGGTTGATGAGCGGTCCAGGGAAACCTGGGTTCGGGCTCACTGTGCAGTGATTGAAGTTCTTTTATATCTATGGCTTCGATTTCAAGTTCAAAAAAAGTGTTTATCCCGGTGTTTAAGGTAAATTCTGGGTGGTATTTGTCTCAAAAGTGCACATTTTGTTGGCAGGCAAACAAGCAACTAAATAATATGTTATTCGGTATCGTTGCAACTCAAGAAGTTTCAACTTGTAGAGCTAACTAAGTTATATATCATATCCAGCAGACGAAATGAGGGAAATAAGCGTAAATCGCACGTTCAGATGCAAAAGAATAACCGTTAATTAGTCTCCTTTACTCTCCATACTGAATATACACGGCAGGTTTTTCGGAGAAGCAATTGAGATTTTGTTCCTATACTAGTAGTGGATTAAAGAAACTGCTTGAGTTTGTCTGGTATTCTACGCCCGTAGGAGTTCACAATTCTTGCCTTTTAGATTTACTATTTAGGTGGTATATGATGTCCTTCAGAGTTAACCGATTATCCGTGTTTGCCCTTTACTCTTGCAGCAAGATGGTTGGGCAAGAAATTTCTCTGGACTCCAGCGATGATTTGCGCGGGGCAGACGGCGCTTTATTTTGGCTTGTAACAACTGCGGCACGCTCAGCAACACTCCTTGGTGTAAAGGTAATTTGTTAGCATCGCCTCTTTGTTTTTAATGTCTGTCGATATGCTCGCATGGTAAAAACGTCATATTTTGGCAAATTTATCGTGTCAACTTTTTGCGTATTTCTGCGTTTGTCCACAAAATTTGGATTTTCTATGTCTTTATCGGAAATCCCCTGCAGTTCAACTTAAAACGTCATCAGCTTACATATAATATTGTTTGTTTCATTGAAACTCTTAAAAGTCCTTGAGCATCTTATTCCAACTGCTTTCAAGTTGGCAATTCTAAGCAAGCAACCAACCAAGGGTGCGACCGGAGCCTGCTTCTTCCAACAGACAGGCCACAGCAAAGCGATTTCCGAACTGGAATAAATTAATTCGTCGTCAGAAAGTATCTCATGCTAGGCTTCTGGTAAAACGTCATCAAGACCCTGAGCACCTTACATATTACGCATTTCGGCACCTCTTTCGGATGAAGGCATCGGTTTGTCACTACAAAGGCCTAATCGAACCTGATGACCAGTACCCACAGGCAGTGTACTTTGTTGGTAAAAGCTTCTAGGATTGAGCTGCAGGCACGTTCATATGATCTAGGCATAAATGCGATTCAGCGCTCACATTCTACTCTATCAAATGATGCAGATATGCAAAGTAATTGTGTGTTCATCGCGTAACACTATTTTATGGGCAAAATTTAAGGGTCTCCTGACCGTTAGAAATTACACAGACCACTTTTATCTCCTCTACTTATAAATGTATTTTTTGGGCTTACTGTTGAGACATTTGGAAATAACTGAACTGCGAACAGTATTCAGGATTCAGCAAAAGCGAAAAATAAATTGTTCGTACTGAAGGACAGTTTACACTTTCCCCCTAAGCTTCGCCGCAAAAAGGGTGTGCTGAAAGTAATTGGTGAGTATGAGCTATGCAAAACAAGTCTTAAAACAATTTTTAAACTTCCACAGGCGAAATAAACACAATCAATAACCCATTGGCAGACTGGAAAATGAGGAACTCGCACGTCATAAGACGCGACACGGTTTCCAGTTTTTTTTTATCTGTGAACTATTAGGAATGATAGAAGGAAGGTTATACGAGCACGGGTAGTGGTCCATTGTCAGAGAAGTAGAGAGAGAAAGTTGGTGCGTCATGTAAGGCGATATGGCCAATCATTAGTCGGTGTTGCAAGCCTGGTGGTGGTTATTTGAGGGCATTGTAGTTGGATGGAATAGCAATATGTCGATTGACGAAGTTTATATCCGACCTCCAAGGTGCGATTAACCGCGTACCTCCTTTATTTCATGTTCATGATATTAACTTGAGAGAGACAAAGTCAACAGTAGATAGCGACTTGTAACGCATCGAATGGCTGCTTTGCATCCTTGCTAAAGTTCTCGTGACAATGTATGACGATAACTCGAAGGATTTGATGCCAATTGATATCCGAAATCTCTTAAAATTGAGCAGCTTGCCAAAGTGTCACGCGTAACGAAGACACTTTTGCGTATTCACGATCGAGTCCTCCACACATCATAATTATCGTACAGTCTGGAAATCGTTTATTGCCATATCCTTACAAGCTTACCGTAAAAAACGTTCTGTGCCTGAAGAACTTTTGAAATTCGGTACGTACGACTGCACAATGGAGTTACGTTCCATTAGTCCAAGGTTCATTTTAGCCGTAGGAACGCATCGATCATTGATTTCTTGTGATGGTTGTCTGTGTTTGTCGTTTTTTGGAAAAATGAAAGTATATTTTTACGCTTTGTTTGATTGTGAGTGATAAGTTAGTGAAATGTTATCTATGTACAATTGTAGACTCGAGCATTTAAACAAATATAGGTGGGATTATTGGTGGAATTGCGAACCATGTCCAGTGTGTCTGTCGTACCTGGCAGTTAACGTTTTAACCCAGAAAAGTCATGTAGAGCAGGAGTAACCGATACGCTGTGTTCATCAAGTTTTGCAACCTCTCGCATAATGGCACCGGTATTACAAAAATTTCATCTCACGAATGAAGGCGAAATTTCGAGTTCCAGGTGTATGTATAAGTGAAGAAGAAGAGGGTTCGAGCACCGGAACATTTTGTTTATTGTTCTGAGCTTTCGGACTCGTGCAGGAGTCCATCTTCAGAGGCAGTCGCAGCAACAGAAGAAGCGACAGTTACAGGAATGGGTGATTTGAAACAGAAATATCGCAAATTTTTGCCTGAGATGACCGTCAAGTCAAACGGAGAATGCAGATTATAGTCCACATGAAAGGCAGAAGGTGAGTCAAACTTATTTAAATAACTTTATCCCTGTAGACTGGGAACTGGATAGTTAGGCCACGGTAAATCCTGCCAACGCAATGCTCGATGCTGAGCGCTATGGCAGCCTA